ACGGTCGACGGCGCGACTCGAAGTCCTTTCTCTCCTTTGTGTGATTTGTGTTTCTTTTTGCCGTCTTTTCCCTCCAAGTATTGAACCATTCTTTTCGTATAGAAAGGCATTTCTGACACCAATTCAAAATGCGATCCAAACTCTTGTGAATAAATTCTTTGAATATCTGATGTCTGAAACACTTTCTCTAAAAGACAGTCTATTTTTCACGAATGAAAAATTCGTTGACAAATGTTTCGTTACTTTTAACTCAATTTAAATTTAAATTATTTTCATTATTGAAACGTGACTTTCATTTATAATTACATCAAAACCTTTAGTACTAAACCCAACGTTCAGTTCACTTATTCTACAATTAGAAGTCAAATGAGTTTTTAATATGATTTAAAAGTGTATAAAAGTATTGTTGAAAACACGGGATATAAGTAAGAAATGAATGTTTAATTCAAATCATGAGAATTGGATTTAAATGAAACCGTTTTTATGTTTTGATTCATGATTTGAGTCAACAGTTAATCCAAAACAGATTTCTTTGAATATCACTTGTATTGAACACAAATTAATCGGATAATGACTGCCACTCCTAGTAGTAAATCTCACATCATTTGAATGCAATTTCTTAACTCAAAACTAATTGTATAAATGCTTTAGAAATAGATTTAATGGATATTCAGTCGAAATTTAGTCCATATGTGAGGAATGAGAGCCAAACCAAACTCAAAGCGCAGGCAATCGGTTCCCGATTTAGTCCACAAAAAGGACTCAATTTGTTGGGAAGATTGTCGCCCACAGTATCGCCCGCGCCGTCCAGTCCTGGAGAAGAATGTCAGACCATCACTGAGTGGACCGGACGTCAAGAACCCGGTGTCGACGAAGTGTCTCAAACCGATCCAACGATTGTATGTATTTTAACGTTAAATCAATGTTTTAAAGATAATTATGAATTGATTTTCAGGTTAACGATTGTGAGACACAAACGGTTGCTGAGACACAATCGGAGGTGAGGCGGAGGAATGGGCTCAAGAAGTGCTGTTCTCTGATGTAAAGTAGATTCGCATTCATTTGAAAATTATATCAAAAATCGTTTATTCAGTCATTTTTTGAATCTTTCTTTTTGTTTCCTTTAAATTATTCATTGATTTGTATATATTTTCATGAATTCATGTATTATTTTAAGATTTATTGTTTTTCATTCAAATTATATAAATTCGTATTACAATTAACTCTAAACTCTATTTTAAAATAAAATATTAGATTTAAATTATTTTTACAAATTATTTGTGTTTTAAATAGAAATATCACAAAAATATAACTGGTTTATATTTAGTTTCAAATTAATTTTATTTAAAAACAGAGAGAGAGAGAGAGAGAGAGAGAGAGAGAGAGAGAATGTAATGTAATAACTGACACTACTTTCCGCGCTAACAATATCGATAAATTGTGTATAAAATTGTGTTTAATTTGAAATTTGAAATTTAAAAACAACACCAAACGACCCAATGAATGATCTCATTGGTTGAGTGGTTTGGATGTAACAGATGGAGAGCCCAATTCTTTGGCACCAAATTCCAGCGGCTTTTGATCGTTTTGGCCGTT